TCCAGTCCTTGCACAAAAGAGCGTAATACAACTGTGCTTTTAAGCACGGGTGAAATTCTTTGCGTTCAACATACTTTGGCGCAGTTTAGTGCGGCATGGATTTGTGCGTTGAACCAAGCGAATTCCCATAACACATATCATACTAAAGCTGAGGCTCCCAGACCCGTATGGCATTCCGAAATTCAGATCCTGAATGACATTCGGATCTGGAAGCCTCAGTTTTAGTAATATATGTAAATGGCTTACAGACCCGAATGGCATTCGGGATCCGAATTTTTCGGGTCTGGCAGCCATATAAATATATTACTAAAGCTGAGGTTCCCAGACCCGAATTCTGGAGCTTCCGAATGCATATTTGGAAATTCTTGTCCCGAATGCCATCCCGGTGTAGGAGATTGAGCTTTAGTATTAATATCTGTAGATGGTTTTCCGTGGTAGTCGTAACGAATAAACGTTCGTAAACTCATCCCAAACTAACGAAATTTGGATTCTGTCAGAATCCGACACACAAACTGAATAGAATTTCGGATCCGTAGCCTAAAATAACGCAATATCCGAAACGAATGTTTCCGCTGCTTACATGTGTCTAGTTACTGTTGAACTGGGGTCAGGGAGGACACAAACTAGCATCCTCCCGTCACCCTAGGCTCAGTATACCGCGAGCTGTAGCTCTCTATATACTGAGACGCCGCAGCTGAAGCGGATCCCGACAATTTATGTCTGGATCCGCCCAGCTGCGTGACAGGCAGAGCCAGCTGTCAATCTAGAGGCAGAGCCAGCTGTACCCGCCCCCTCCCCCGTCCGTTCCGCCAGTCAGCGCTGGAGGATCGGAGCGGCGAGGGGGGAATCCAGCCCCTCCCCTGTCACGGCAGAGAGCCGTGAGTGAACACCGGTATGTGTTCGCTCACCTCCCGATCTACTGAGCCGACCTGTGACAGTCTCATTGTCACAGGTCGGCTAGAACTATGAGGTGAGTGAAAAGCACCCCCCCCCCACCCCCCTCATAGTTCTCCTTTTAATACCTTCACATCTAAATACCATAAACAACCCTTACGTACATTTTCCTCCTCAGTTTTACCCTTTCAAATTCCCTCACTAAAATCCCCGAGATCTTGAATGTGACATTTTCAGCCCCAGCAGACTCTGAGCTATCACTCAAGTGACACGCTATAATCTTCTTTGCTGTTCCCCAGCAGCTACATATAAGGGGACGAGCAGAGGAGGTGGGTCAGCACAGACGGTAATTAGAATCTCCTAGAACAGGGCAGGGCTAAGAGGTTCAATAAGGGAGGGGGTGGAGCTAGGGAATTGACTCTTCCTTGAGTAGTCAAATATTGTAGCAAGTTCAAGGGCATGTTGTGAGCGAGCTTTTTACCAGCAAAGTTGATGACAGGGTCTCTTTAAAGGGTGAAGCTGCAGCCATGAAAATTACCAGAACCCTGTATAGTTGACTCTGATATGCAAATAGCAATTATCTCACCTGGTTATTGACTTTGATCTATCCCTGTTTTAAGAACCAGAGGTCTTGCTGCACTCCTTACCGGAAGGAACCCGTATGGGTGGGTGCTTGTAGTGACCACGGGCGGCACCGTGTATAACATAAAAGAACAAATAATGTCACCAGCACACCATAGTAGTAAAGCAATATTCCATTTAATGGCACATTGCCATTCGATGCAAGCGCTTTCGGGGCCTGATGAAGGGGACCCCCTGAGGCCCCGAAAGCGCGTTTATCGAATGGCAATGTGCCATTGAATGGACTATTGCTTTACTACTATGGTGTGCTGGTGACATTATTTGTTCTTTTACGCTATCCCTGTTTTGTCACGCAGCTGGGCGGATCCCGGCACAATTGTCGGGATCCGCTTCAGCTGCGGCGTCTCAGTATATAGAGAGCTACAGCTCGCGGTATACTGAGCCTAGGGTGACGGGAGGACGCTACTTTCGAGATTTCGGCTGTTTCCACATGCATAAAATATAACAAATGCTCATATAAGCTTATGGGAGGGCTGTTGTTGTTATGAATGGTCTGGCGACAGGTTCTCTTTAAAGCGTATGTACACCCAAAATGTTTTATGTTCATTTAGGACGTAGAAGGATTTTAAATTGCTGTCTGTGCCTCTGCTGGGGAGCTTCGCCCTCTCCATATGTCCCCCGAGGACCTTTTTGCTTTTAAGAATGTAAATGGAAAGAAGTTTGAGTCGTCGCAGGTATCAGGAGGTAAGGGAATCTTCATCTGCATTGGAGACATTTCTGTTACTTCCTGCTGCGTCACTGAAACAGGAAGTAAAGGCAAATCTCCCCAAATGGGACACAGAGAGCAAAGTAAAACCAGCCTGGAAAAAGAGGATAAATAGCCCCGGAAACAGCTTACGGGAGGGCTGTTGTTATGAATGGTCTGGCGACAGGTTGAATGGTCTGGCGACAGGTTCTCTTTAAAGTGTATGTACACCCAAAATGTTTTATGTTCATCTAGGATGAAACACCTCCCCTCCCCCCCCTGAGGTTTCTATGTGTTTATTTTATATTATTATCATCCAATAGTGTGGCTGCAAATATTGAGTATTGGGCTGGCGCACAGTGAAAGGTTTCCACAGTCACCCCGGGTTGTGGTCGCGATGAGTGAATCTAGAATTGGCGCGCCACGTCATGATGTTTAACTCCAGATACAAGTTTGTTATTATGTTATTATATTTATTTACATCACACATTTCTGTATATCAATGTTATCATTTTTGAATTATATTTAATTGAATACATATAATATTGTATTATTGGTATTAAGAATACATCATTTTTATTATTATTTTTATTTATTAATATTGCATAAGATAATGTAAAATTCTGAATGATACAAAATGTATTTAATAAAATGAGAGGGAGAGAGGCATAGTAGCAGGGGGCGTCCTGAGGTCGGGTGTCACCCGGAGCAGAGATTGGGTGACACCCCGCCGTGACATCATTGCGCGTGTCGCTAACCACGTGCGTGCGCAATCGTCTAATTGACGCCTGCCAGCGGCCATCTTGGTGATGGACGCCGGCAGAGAGAGGAGGGGTTGTTCACCCGGCGGGATGAGATATGCCTCCCCTCCTCTCTCCTGACACTGTCAGGCTCCTCGGTCCATGACCAATTGCCCTACTTTTTAGAGGGGGGTGACACCAAAATGACTGTCATTTTGGTGTCACCCCCTCCAACGGTGTCACGTGGGTGCGAACCGCACCCCCCTTTGTGACGCCACTGCATATTAGCAGTAGTAGTATAATTCACTGTGATCATTTAATTACAAGCATTGCATTCTGGGTATTATTGGGAATTAGGGCTGTGGAAATTAAAGATTAATTTCTCGATTAATCGTTAAACTTTTTGATCGATTTAAAATGATTTTGATCGCTAATGAAAACACTCGCCTCTCCGCCGGCTTCCAGTATAATAATAATAATCTTATTACTAAATTATTATTACTATAATTCGTTATGATGCTGTTTTTATTATATACATTGTATTATTGATATTTTATTTTTGCTAAATAGTAATCATGATGATTATTATCATTATAAATATTGTTCTAAAATAAAACAAATTAATAATGTAATTATTACTATGATTCTTACAATCCTCATTTTCAATACCATCATTCTGATTATTACTATACAGGAATTATAGAGCTCCGACAGTTTGCGCAGCGCTTTACAATATAATACTATTATTGATGGAATATCTTTACACTTGCTGACATTTTGATTCTGTTCTCTAAACTACTGAGTCATGTTTTAGAATGATGTGTACATTTTTTTTTTTTCTGTGTTGCATTTTTGCCCCGATGGGAGGGGGAGCAGTTCCAGCCCTTGAAATGTCTTGGCTGCATTAACAATCTCTCACTGGAATAAACATGTAGTTGAACGATGTGGCGCTTCCATTCCAGATTCACTTAGCAAAATAAAACCTTTCTGATAAAAACTTAGCCGGGAAATGTCACGGAACACCTGAACCCAATGATTTGGAGGGGGAGGGGCCCAATACTTTTGGCAATATAGTGTATCTATTTGTAATATCAACATGTGACAAAAGAAAAAAAATGTAAATACTTCTCCATCCGTAAATATAGAATAAAAAAAAAATGTAAAATAAAAATCATTTACTTCTTCACCCATAACTATAAAATAAAGTTTTTGCCTTTTACATACCCTTTAAAGCGGCCGTGCGATGCATTATTGTATGAATGCGTTTCTTTACATGATTATAAACGGCCTCATACGTATTAATGTCGATACATTTATAATATCGTCATCACAATGACATCACAAAATGACTAAAACGCATTTCAAAAGTCAAACTTTTTTTTTTTTTTTAATACTGCATCTTAGCAAGAACATTTTAACAAACTTATACTTTAACTTAATATAGTACAACAGAGGAACCGTTACTCAGAACTCTTCATGACCTAACTTCTCTACCGTGCGTTCGCTTCTGGTAAAAGGCCCCGCCCCACAAAAAAAACCCGCAAGCGTGGCATTTAAAGAGGCGTCACCAGTCCTCGGCGTTGTGGGCCCCCCCCCTCCCCCGCCCGCGACGGTCTTCCGATTTAAAGTTTCACTTGTACAGCGTCGTAGTTTCTTCGACTTTAAAAAAAATGTACACAAGTTCGTTTGGAAAATGTCGTCAATAGCGTCCGCTCCGGGTAAACAAAGCTGAGTTTTTGTTTTAAACGTAATGATAACCGTTTTGGAGGTGGATCTGATAAAAAGAGCTCCATCCAGCCACTGGGGGGCGCTGTCCGTCACTTGGGTGGGTTAGATACAATTGCGCTGTAGACCGTAA